TTGTGTTAGCATTATGAAAACATAGTGGAGCAAGGCAGCAGAGATTACTCAACTACATGAACCCAGCTTCCATTGTACTCACTGCTAAAGCTTAAAGCCACCTAAAGCTTGTGGTACCTTCAGGACCTCTAGCGAGAAAGTTATGGCGTTATTTTTCCCCCCTTTATGTTCAAGTCTAGTCTTCCATTAGCATGAAACCTGCAGCATATTTCTTCATTTGCAAATTTTGACAGATTTTAACAACGTACATGCTGTGGCTTTTTTCAAAGTAGCTTTTAAGCATCCCACTAATTCAAAAGGAAGTATAAACTAACATACTTCTGTAAAAGTGTAGGTAATACGAGTAAGGACAGTTCACTAGACTCGTTTAAGTCAAAGTTACATATTGGTCACTTCTTGGTGAAAGTACTACTCATATACAGAACTCAAAAATTCTGCTGAAACTGTGGAATGGCAACAGGTTAGCTTGTTAGAACAACTGTTTGCACTGAAGAAAAAGTTTCATTGCACTATCCGATGGAAGCCTTTGGCCACAATCTGAAATGGGAGCAGTCCTTTAATAGCCGCTTCAGCTTCTCCAGATGCAGGGACTAGGTATTTTTTTCTGTCCTCTCAAATGCTTTAGTATTAAAGATTAAAATCACCTTCCAATTGTGATACGCCTGCATTATGAAAATATTAATTATAGTTTATTTTAGACTAGCTCTCACCAGTGTCTTCTAATACAGAGCTTCATTCTTAAGTACGCTAAAATTGCACCTTAAGAAAAGCCCTAATTTACTAATGGGATATCTATAAAATTGCCTTTGTTGAATTCTCACAGAGGAAGCTTTTTAATCCCAAATTAGCTACATTTAGTCATATAGTTTTTAAATACCCACTACTAGTGACAGAATTAGGTGCATTCTTCATTCCACTAAAAAGAAAAAAAAAAATCTGAAAAATGTTACTTTAGATAGTAGAACAATACTGGAAATGCTACACTTGGAACCAGGAACCCAGTACCTGATATATTCAGTTCCTGGCTTTCAATGACTGACTGTTCATGGACAATCCCTTTAACCACTACGATTGCTAACTCATCAGTTAAAAAATACACACTGAATGATCTAGGAAGCATTTCAGAGATTTTTACATCTGAAGTATTTAACATTAAACAGTATCAGATTACACTCAACAGATTTACACTCAACATTCACTTAGCATTGAAGTGGACACGCTAAAATTGAAGAGTTAAGACCCACAACCTCCCTAATAACTGCAAATAAGGAGTTAATTAAACAGTCTACTGAAGTTGGATTTTAGGTACTGCAAGTCATTTAAGTACTAGAATGTCTATTTTTACTTACCATTATCTTCTGTGCAGGCAAATGGCATAGGCTATTCTACTGGCTGTGTAGCAGAACTAAAAATGCATTTCATAACTTCCTTAGCACAAAGAAAATAAGTGGTAAGATTCAATGTGTTTTCTACACATTAGTGACCAAAACAAGTAAAATTGTATTGTCACACTAACTGTGCAAACAGAGACAGTGAACTGTCAGCATTCATCAGCCAAATATATCATTCTCAGACTAGAGGAAATCCAGATTTCTGACACTGCAAGTTTTACCTAAACAACTGTCAGAAAGTAAGTGTTGGTTTTGGAAACAACTCTCAGAACTGAAGTGTATCTTGTGATTCAAACTTTAAATATTCAAGCTGTATTTAATTACCTATTAGCTTACACACTATGACTGTGTTTTCTAGACTGTCAGAGATGCTTGTTTTTTTAAAAAAAAAAAGAAAAGCTTTTGTCATGTACCTGGAAGACTGACCATCTAAAGAAGCTTTCATGAAGATAGCTTTAAATAATCAGTGTAACCCAGTGCTTCCAGATGAGCTCGGCTGTGCAACACCCACTTCAGAGCTGGCCATTTAAAAATACCTAAGTTTGTGGAAAAAAATAGTAACCAGTTGGCAAGAAAGATACCGTTACATGAGACAACCACCCCTCTCTCCAAATTCCAAGTAAACTAACAAGCTAGTCCTAGTGGCACTTTTCAACTTACCTACCTATTGTAACAATCAAGGCAATGGAGCACCAAAGAAAACTCACTCTTTCATCCTATGGATTTTGTAACACAAGTATAATTAAACACTTGCAAAGTGTTGACCACATGACTATGTGAAAGTCGGTCTCCCAGAAAAAAAGTTTATCATCAGAGCTTCTAGGAAGCTGTATGTTTGTCTGCACTAGATGGCTGTAAAGTAACAATACTTTATTCATTCTGCCCCCACTACCCGTATTAAGGACCAAGGAATCTTCAGCTCGACTTTTTCTGCTGTTGCCACATATCATTTTTATCTAACAGAGCAAATGACGAAGTACAATCTGGTGTTTCCTCTGCCCAACTAATGCAACTAGCTAGCCCCAGCCAAGAGATGTCATGTGCTGGTGCTGGAATTAATTCAGCAAGACACTTGGCGAAGACAGACTTTTAAGTCCATCATAGCCAGTCATAAAGTTGGGATTCATAAGCTTCAGGCTATGAACACAAGCTCCAACTTTACCGATTTCAATTCTCAGAACACTACGTTATAAAGTTTACTGTTGTACTGCCTACTTCCAAAACTTGCTATTCCATTTTAAACAATTAACATTTCCCACTAAGTTTTCACTAATACAAGTCAGGGAATAACAGTCTTAATTTTGTGGAATGTATCAATTTGAACACACTCTTTTCAGAAAATGTTACATGTGTTTATGTCCATGTTGCCTTTCAGTTTTATTTCTTTAAAAAAAAGTCTCCCCTCACTGATGTATGGAAGCATTGAAATAACTGCTAAGCTGAACAGAAAAGTTAAGCCTCTGAAGAATTATCAAAGGCACAAGCGAAAAAAGTTGCAGCCATATATAACATTTCTATTCTGAAATATTAAGTTGGGAATCCTACCTTCAGAGGCAGCTAAGTTTATTTTAAACTATGTCATACCCCTCACCCCAAACAAGAACAGAATTAGTATTCCTTATTTTAGATTTTAAGACAGTATTTAGGTAAGAGTTGTACAATGCAGAAATTCAGAAACTGGTCTTAGTATCTGTAATAACAGCCTTCCTCCAAACACTAAAAACACAAACTTAAGTTCTGGGTCGTAACAAATCTCCTCTTTAAAAAAAAAAAAGAAAGAAAGGAAAAAAGGTACAGTTGTATCTCCTATATGAAACCCTTCAAACAAAAATGAATATTAAAACAAGAGTATATTTTAAAAAGCTGTGTATTGGAGTGTTTATAAACCAGAAGTGTTAAGCAGCAGCAGCAGTTTCCGATTTCTTATTAAATTCAACTAGGCTTCAAATTTGGGAACACATTACAAACCAATGTGGAACTATGCTAGCTTATACTCAAACCTTTGCAGGTGTTTCAGTAAAAAAAGCCTCCTATGAGAATAAACAGAGGCAGCATAATACATTAAGTCAACACTTGCCTTCAACATGCCAAAAAGAACTGTGTGTTATATGTCCATTTGTCACCAACGCACCCCGCACGAGATGCATTATTGCTGTAGAACATTTCAAGTTTACCAACACCCAAGTGCAACCAAACTGATGTTGTATATATGCACTTGCCCATTCTCACCAGTACTTCCACTTAATAATGAACGGTTTTTCTTTACACAATCAAATTTAAAGCTTTGAAAATAACATTTTTTGATTTTAGTTTTTTTTCCACAATATTAATCACCACATGCAATTTAGTTTTTTGATCATTTTGCTAAAAAACTGCACCAATATCAGAACAGTGCAAATCATATTTAATTTTAAAAGTTATAATGGCTTGAGTTCATAATTAGAGGGAACACTGTCAAGATCTTGATATTTTTCTCACTCACCATTGCTTGCATTCCATTAAAAACAAACACTTTCCTGTCAATTTTGCCTTTTTTTTTTTTTTACGTTTTTAGCAATTGTCCCCCATGCTTTTATCAGAGCTGAAATTAAGGATACGATCCACAATTTCAACACATGCAGTGCCTTAATAGCAATGTTTTTATGCACTTCCATCAACTGTTATAATTCCATAAATATATTATATATCCCCCCCCCCCAACATATTTCCACACTAAGAACTAGTCACTAGCACTTGTGATCCCACAAGTGTTCTAAGTTTTTCAGCAATGGAGAGATTTCAAGATGAAGAAATCTGAGGACTTCCCCTCTCCTACAGCCCCCAGTGTTTTCATTTTATAGCAAGTTCAAAATTGGTTTCCACATCTTGACAGTGTTCCTTATAAAACCATATGACAGTAAAAGTGCCAGTAGGCATGGCAACCTCTTTGAAGGGAGCATTTAAGCTCCTTGGCACTGGGAATGCCAGCACCAAGGATTACATTGAAATTCAAAATTATACTTAAGGCTACAATTAGCAAACCCACTTTCCATAAGCCTAATATCCTATCACTAGATTTGAAAATTCAGAAGCTAACGCAACTGTATACTTTTATGCTCAAATTTGAAGAAAAAGTTACTTTTCTTTAGCAAGGGCAGTATATGAAACTGTGGTAGCAAACGTCTCTTACGCATTGACTACTCATTTCACCATCATTCACTTACTTTGTCTTAAAGTTCAAAACTGGCAAGGCACATTTACATATTCCAATGAATACTTGACAATTTAAATTACACTTCATGTCCCAGCTATCCCAGTAATTGACATACAACATACTAAAATGGTTTATTAAGATAACAAAAAAAAAAATCAATTAATGTGAAACATACAGGCTATTGGCAACCACTATTCTAAAAAATTATGTAAATACAAGTAAACATACTGAAATGTGTGCGATTCTAAGTTTTTAACCAGAAGATCTCTGTACTAACACACATTTATATTAATGACACATAAAAAAAATAAAAACTTTATTACAAAAATAAGTTACACTCGCCTCCAGCTTACAGTATAAAACAATTTTATTTGCAG